CTGGTCACTGGCCATCAGTGTTTTAATTATATAGAATGATATCCACAGCAGTGTGTGTGTGTGTGTGTGTGTGTGTGTGTGTGTGTGTTTAGGTCTGGCCACTGGGAATCTCATCCTTGGAGAAGACCGAATCAATCTCTCTCTCTCTCTCTCTCTCTCTCTCTCTCTCTCTCTCTCTCTCTCTCTCTCCATTAATTGTCTGTAGCTCTTCATCTAGGGGTAGGGCCAACAATGGCATGTCAAATTACAATTTGGGCAATGATTTTAAAAGTAAAGTGTCTATAGCTGTCATTATAAGTAACCATTTCTATTTTAACCCCAACAGGGAGATCGAGGCCCAGCAGGTCCCCCAGGAACAGCCGGCATGTCGGTGAGTTTGGCTTATCTCATGTTAGCTTTTCAGGTGTGCCTTTCTATCTCCATAATCAATCTACAGCTAGTGATCAAGGGTGCTTGGAGTATATTCTGATGACAGCAGTTGCCCAGAGCCTGTCCCATTCCTGATTCTAGCCTATCTGTTCTTTGTTTGGACTTTTTCCCTCCTTTTTGGTCTTTTTTTTCTTCCCAAGTCTCTTTCATGGAAAGAGGGGAAATCTGGTTACCCATGGCTCTGTGTGTGCACAGCTCTGAAAACTCACTTTCTGTACCTCTGTCCCTGTCGTATTTCAGCAGTTCTCCATCTCCCAAAGGCCGAGTTCTCACCTGGGGGCACGTACATCAGGCTCCCCACATGAGCCTGTAGTCAGCCTGGGTGCCCACTTCAGCCAGGGTTATTAGCGGAGCTTTTTATGGCCGCTAATGTTTCCTCGTAAACCAGGCTTCAAGCCTCTCAGTCATTTTTGTTGCTCTCTGGTGTCAAATGCTTTAATCTCATCAAGGTCTTTGCAAATGAATAGGAAGTGCTCCCAGAAAGGTTGAAATCATTTCTCTGAGCCCTTGGGATAATTCTGATCTTCATTCATGATGCCCTCATTAAAATTTTGTGGTCACGGTTTATGAATAAGAGGCCATTTATCCTCTTGCCAGGTGACCCTGCAGGGAAAGTCCAGTATCACTTTACAAGACAGTCTGTGGAAACCATGGGCTTGGGTAGGAGGAGCATGGTGAAGATGAGAGGGGTCCCCACTCTCAGCCCCCCCCCACACACACACACTGTTGCCCCACTGACACCACTTAGCATCACCCTATACAGCCTAAGATCCCCAACCACCATCCATTGCCAGCTACCACCGTCCAAGAAGGTCCACAGACCCCTCTACATTATTACATTTAACTAACTCAAACAAGTAATAAAATACTACCTATCATGTACATGCTTTACAGAGAATGGCATTCCTTATTACATTTGTCCAGACTGAGACTGAAAATGTGTATAATTGTAAAGGCAGAAAGTGAAAAATAGTTTCTCTAGCAAGCACTCTGGAATTTGTATAAATTGAAGATCCTTTACGAAAGTGGACTTCACACTTAATCGTATGCCCCACACACACACACCTCTGACTCTCCTCCTCACTAGATTAGGGGCTTCTCTTTCTGGAACTGTGCTCAGAATATCATTTCAACCTGTTCCCTTACACTCACATCTTATACTCACAAAGAAACTCATTTTCCCATTACAGTCATCTACGTGTGACTTCAAAATACTTTCTGCTGTTACCATAAATTAGGTCTGTCTTCAAAGAAATATTACTAGATGCCAGTAAGGTAATTAAAACGTGTAATAGTTTCAAATGATAGATTAAATGAGCAATTCCAGAAGTCTTTTTGAAGGCTGTTGTTTGGTTAAAATATCAGACATGGATTTGAATACCTAACATCTGATAAATTCACTTTAAAAGCAACCTTCCCAGCACTTAGGAGCACTTGGCAGCTTCAGAATTAGGAAAGGGTAAAAACTGGCCCCACTACACGTGTGCAATTGTGCGACTCAAAATAAGTCTTTATTTTTTTGACCGTTAAGAGGGCCTACCAGAAGTGGTAATGGCTACAAGACATTGTAAATGCACCCAGTGCACTGTGCCATACACTTCCAAAGGAGTACGTGTTCAATTTTATCATAGATGATAGAGGTGTGTTCCAGTATTGTCTAAAACTTTCAAGGTGATTGTTGTAGTTGAAGCAAAGATAAATCCAGTTGGGCCTGTCATGACTCCTCGGTGGAGGTCCATCGGACCCAATCCTGCCCTTCCTAGATGAGAGTAGTCCCTTTTTCCAGTGTTTCCAGGGCTACCCAGGGCTTTCTCTAGAATGTGTTTCTCCTTTCTCTGAGAGGGTTCGCCTCCCAGAAGTCTAAAACAGGTTGGAAAAGGGGCCCTTCCCTTTTAAAGTCTCAGCTGCTCACTGAAATCCCTACAAATCTTTCCCAGAGGTGATTAAGCCAGTGGAGTCGGAGGTCCTCTTCCAGAGGCAACCCTGTAAGGTCTGTCTGATGCTCTGCGCGTTACTTCTGGTCTCGGCTAGACCACGGTGTTAGTAACTGTTTCCATCACTGTGACGAAATACTTGTCAGAAGCAACTTCAGGCTCAAAGTCCATAGACAAAGCCCATCAGGGCAGGGGGAGCATGGTGGCCGGGGTAGGCTGCGCAGGCGCAGAAGAAGCTTGAAATGTTGTTTGTTCGCCATGTCGGTAAACAAAGAGTAAATAGCTCCAGCAGCGATCAGAAGTAGATGTGGCCTCAAGGCATCAGAAGTGGATATGGCCCTCAAGGCCTGCCTCCGAGCAGCCTGCTTGTTTCTGCTAGTAAAACCACAGTCCTAAAGGTTGACAACCTCCCAAAACCGCCACCAGCCGAGGACCAAGTGTTCAGATCCATGAGCCTGTCGGGCACATTACACGTTCGACCTGTGTAAACGCCGTGTCCCTACTTCCTCCTGTGATCTTTCTGCTCCAGGGTTTCCTGGTTCTTGTTCTTTGGACCATGGCACATTGAGGGGAAAAAAATATTTTCCTCAACCTTTTTACCCAAATACAGATTTTCAAATAAAATGTGGATTTTTTCCCCCGTATTATCTTACTACCAGGCTAGAAGCTCCCTTGTGAAACTCAAAACCTAACATGAATTTCTCTCACCCCTGCCTTTTGTCTTACTTTGCTTTAAAAAAAAAAGTCACTTGAGACGGAAGGAGTTTATTTGGAGTTTATGTGTCCTGAACACAGCCCATCCCTCAGGGAAATCAGGGCAGGAACTCAAACAGGGCAGGAACCTGGAGGAAGGAACTGAAATAGGGACCGTGGAGGGCTGCTGCTTCCTGCCTTGCATTTGGTGGTTTGCTCAACCTGCATTCTTGTACAACCCAGGACCACCAGCCCAGATGCAGCACTGCCCACAGTGAGCTGGCCTTCAAGCATTAATGAAGAAAATGTCCCACAGACTTGTCCACAGGCCAGTCTGATGGAGGAATCTTCTCAGTCGAGGTCTCCTCTTCCTGAATGGCTCTAGTTTGTGTCAACTTGACAAACCCCAACCAGCACACCCTCCCCCAACTCCCACCTCCATCTCCCACCCACTAGAGCAGCAGTTCTCAATCTATGGGTCGTGACCCTTTTAGGTCAATTTGTAACAATGAAAATACATCCTGCATATCAGATATTTACATTACAATTCATAACAATAACAAAATTACAGTTATGAAGTAGCAACGAAAATAATTTTATGGTTGGGGGTCACCACAACAGGAGGAGCTGTGTTAAATACTGTCCAAATACTCCAGTAACCTTTAAGCTCTTGTGGAGGTAAAAGTGCTTGGCATCAGTACCATGGCTCCTAACGTTTTTATTTGGTTTTCTTCCAGGGGAAACCCGGTGCCCCAGGCCCTCCAGGAGTTCCAGGGGAGCCGGTGAGCTACCACCGATTTGACAGCAGACACACTGCTGTGGTATCTAGGTGCTATTTAAAAGAAATTTTTACCAATGAACTTTTCTCTTGGCACACATTTATAGGGTGAGAGAGGACCTGTTGGAGATAGAGGTTTTCCTGGACCAGAGGGACCCTCGGGGATGCCAGTAAGTACTTATTAGCTAGAAACTGCTATTCTAAGAAATGTTCTAAGCATTTTCCATTTACCTTCCTCCTCAGAAATGTAAGATCTGAGCAAGCAGTTTCAGAAGGAAATACAAACAGGTTCTAAAAATTGAATTTGGGGGTACTGTCAGGGGGTTCCTCCAGGAGTTTCCCAGATCTCTGTGTGGTGTCTTTATAACTTAAACAACGGGGTAGGGAGAAGGTGAGATTTTCTAAGTCCTAGTTATGTAGACACATTGTTTCTTAGGTCTAATAACTCCAATAGAGTTCAAATTAAATGTCCCGTCACATCCTAAAACCTGAAAAAGCCAACAACTCACTGGCATAGCACCTGTGTGGTAAGCTGAAGCAGAAAGGTTTTTCTCAGACTCCTCCTTCATACACAGGCCTTGTCCTGACACTGTTATTAGTAACCATTACTGCAGACATATCATGCCCAGTGCCCTACAAAAGCTTGTGTATTGATATGGCACTGTGACATCCCTACCCAGCGTTTATACATTTAGGCCCTATGAGCTGAGGATATGCCTGGAGAGAGGCAGGTAAAGTTCTGTTTTGTTTTGGTTTTTAAAGATTCGTTTCATCTTTTAAGATTTATTGTATTTTATGTGTATGAGTGACCGTACGTATATATGTGCACCATACGGGTCCCTGTGGGGGCTAGAAGAGAGCATCAGATCCCCTGGAACTGGAGCTATAGAGCACTGTAAGCCACCAGATGGGTGCTAAGAACCAAAGCCAGTCCTCAGGGGGAGCAGCAAATGCTCTTCACCTCTGAGCCATCTGCCCAGCCTATCAAATTTCCTTTTTACAGAAGGTCTTGGTCATTTGCTATGTATGGAAGGGAAGGATTGAAGATAATATAGCTCAGCTCTTATGAGCTTTGTCCCATATTTCTCTGACACTCAGGGTTGATGGATTCTCTGGCCATCATCTCCTCGGAGGTGGCAAGGAAGGACCAAGTGAACACAACAAGGTTCTAAGCTTCCCGTCACCTCCCCTTAACAAATTTCTCCTCCCTAAGCCTTTGAGGCATCTCCTAAAAGGCTTGCAATTGAGTTCCCGGGATATAATACAATAGGCAATTTTTTTCATTTAAATGAACATTTTTGAGCAACTGTTCCATACTAACAATGGTTGGTGCTGAAAACTTCTGGAGGAGGGAGAATCATTCATGTCTGGGGGAGCTCTCACTGATAGCTTGCCGCCCTACACCTATGAATAGGTGGGCAATGCCACTTGGATTTAGTCAGTTATCAAAACAAGAGAACACAAGGTAGGAAAGGGGTCTTGTTAAGAGGGATTCAGGAAGAGTTGGTGGGGAAAATGGGGGATGGATATGATCGTGTTTCATTACATATGTATGATTTTTTTAAAAAAAGAAAACTGTGTACATTTTAAAAGTTCAAAGCATAAATTCCAGTTTTATGTTTGATTTATCTTTTACTCAGGTGTCACAGTCATTTCTCATTCTCTCCTTAATCATCTTTATCTCTGTTGTAGTGTTCTTGCAGGTAATAAATTCTTTGAACTATATACACTTCAGGTAACAAAGTCTTAGTTAAAGTACTCTCAGTAATTCCCAGGGTGCTTCAGAGAAGTCCTGAGCCTATGGTTGGGTTACCAACTGTGACACATGTCAGTGTGATTTACCGCAATGAAAACAGGTGGCTGTCTGCACCTGTGTCCTTGTGGAGTCTGTTCCCGCAGAATACAAGTCTCTCGGGCTCTCACAGAGCATGTCTCTGCAACGCCTGCTGGCTGGGAAATGCCGCCTCTCACCTTGATCTCTCTCTTTAAACCACATCTCAAAGCTGTGTCTATGCTTGGGCTCTGGGTATCTGATTCGACCCCAAGCCCTTCTCCTCCTTCCATATCTGACAGGCAATTCTGTCCGTTTTATAAATCTCCAGGCAGGGCTGGCTTTATGACCACTTCCAGAATACCTTTAAAGATCCCAGAAGTTGCAATTTTCAAATAAAAAATGTCACTGCTTAATAGTCTCAAAAACTACGATTACAGATTCCCAGCTCTCATTCAAACTGAGAAAGAGTAATTTTTCTTCAGCTGACAGTTTATTTTATAGTAGGATCACATTCCAGCCATGTTATGAAATTCCCTCAGAAACAAGTCACAGCATTTGCTGAGAGGGAACCTGTGCTTAAAACTGCTAGAAGGCTGTTGTGGTGACACTATTCCTGGGAAGATGTCAATGAGTGTCTCCTCACACAAATAGGGAATCAATGGCAGACCAGAGATACCGGAAAAGTACAACTTGGTAAGCCAGTGAGTTTAACTGGCATTACTTATGGGAGTATAGGTGACGAGCTACCAGCAGGAGTACAGATGTTACCCAGAAAGCTGCATCACCATGAGTAATGCTCACAAAAGCTGGAGCCCTGGAGCTCACTGCCCAACTTACAGGCAGCTCAATGGGATGGAGAGTGTCTTTTCCAGACACTTCCGTTGTTTCTGGACCTCTTCAAGGCAGCTCGGCTGGCCTCAGGGTGTCTCTCAGAAGTCCTCACTGCCTATCTAACCTTGGGGAAGGAGGAGCATAGCAAATATGGTCAGTTTCAGGAACTTCCTGAAGATTTTGAGTTGTTTATCCTGAGTTTAAGGAGGGAGTATTTTCCACCTTCCTTTAAAATATTCTGAGTCTTAAGGAACTTCCCTCCGAGATGGAAGGTCTTTATGTCAGGGAAAGTTGCTGCACAAGAAAGGTATAAAACATCTCCATATCTCATCCACCCAATGCTTTTGGGCACCCTCATTCTTCATAGGCGGTGGAGAAAGCCATCTTGGGTGGCTACTTGAGAGGACTCCACACTTTCCATGTTGTTGTGCTCTCTTCTTGGTTGTAAGTTCGTTCTTACCTTCTTCACTGTGTATATGAAGATGCTGGTGCTAAACAGATGGAGTAAATTCCCGAGCCTCGTCAGTGGAACCAGTAAATGGCAATCAGAATTGGAACTCAGGGCCGCATGACTGCACTGATTTTATATTCTATTTTTCCATGCAGACTCACCAAGGTGTCTGAAGAAATATATAACGTAATTCTTTTGTGTGTTTAACTATGACTGTATGCAGACATGGGATAGAAATATTTTTTTTATCTTTTTAGGGCATAAATGGAAAAGATGGATTACCAGGTGCTCAGGTATGGGGAAAAATTCTATTTCAAATAGTATGAATTCTTAAAATTTCTACTTTATAAGTGTATGTATCTCAAAACCATCAGACTGATGGAAAATCTTGGCAAACAGTGATTTTTTTTTTTTAGTGTTGACATCTGTTTTTCAGGGCATCATGGGTAAACCTGGAGACAGAGGCCCCAAAGGAGAACGCGTATGTATATCACTACTGTTGCTGCTGTTTACGTCTGTCTGATACAATTGTTCCATCACTGTAGCCACACAACAAAGCCCGCAGGCAACCTTGGTTCTCCCATCATGAAATGGCTCAGATGTACATGAAACAGTATCTCTACCAGGAATAGAATGTGACACTTAGGCAGGTCACGCGGAGAGTGTGCTTGGGAACTGGTCTTTGTACACGAGTCTACTTTTCTGTTCCAGTTTGGAAAGTGTTGTACCACCCTCCTGTCTGAGACATATGTGCCAACTATAACCACCACCCAAATTCTTCTTGCCAACTAAGGGATGGCTCACCCACAGTTGTATGGACACTTGGAGGCAGACAAGTTTTTGTAGAGTTTGGCTATCTCGTATATTGCAGAATATTGATAGCATTGCTGATGTCTGTCCACATGATGCAATGGCACCATCATCCCTTCAACTCTTACTACCCAGACATCACTAAATGCCTGCCAGGGAGCAAAATCACCCAGGCTGAGAACCACTGATCCACGGGAACACTAAGTGGAGTAAGGAAACTGTGAGGAGGGAGAGAAAGGGCAGTAAATATGGAGTTACACACACACACACACACACACACACACACACACACACACAGTTGTGGCCTGCACTTCTGCTAGAACTCTGTGGGCTGCAGGTGCCGCTATTGAAACTTACTAGCATTTTCTGTACCGACTCTCCCAGTAGGACCCTTGTCCCTGATGCAAGTTACTCAGACCTTGTTACTTCGCATAATCCTATCTAGGGCTGCCCTTACGTTTGTGTTTGTGTACTAGTGTCTAATTTATTGAGTTTTTTTTCTAATTGTTACACAAGTAATTCGTAACAATGGAAGGAAGTATGAAAAACAAGATAACATAAACTTAAGAAGAGAGTCTTCCGGGCATCCTTACACAGAGATAAGCACTTGATATTTTGAACATATTTCAGTCTTTCACTCTTATGTCTAATGGACACATATAACCAATACAAAATATATCTTCTTTTGAAATCAGATTGACAATGCTTTGTAAACATTTTTCTACTAGCAATACATAATGACTACATACGGCTTCCCTCGTTCTCTTTTTCTAAGAAGTTCTTTTCTCTCCAGTTTTCTTAATAACAAACACTACAAACATGATTTTTTAGAAAAAAAAAACTAGTTTTAAAAAAAAAATTATGTGATGGCAGAGAACAACTATACGAGTCAGTTCTCTGCCTCCACCCTGTGGCCTGTGTGGATTAAACCCAGGACATCAAGTATGGGGATGGGTGACATGTGCCATTTTGAGGGTTGAAATGATAATGGGTGATGGGTGCTGATCACATTAATACCTGTGATTGTTCCCTTATTTTCATGATTGTTTTTAATCAAGACAAATACAGAGAGGCCTTTTGCAAAGCATTACAGATAAGGGAATAAATAATGCGGGGCAATGCGGGGCAGCCTCCAGCAGCAATCCGTCACACTCAGCTCAGACCTCACTTCCTGCCATCATACAGCTGAACACTGAAAACGTGGATGAAACACTTGCTGTGATGTCCTACTTCCCTTGCGCCCACACAGTATAGACACATGCCCGGAACAAAGGCAACGACAACTTCACTCTCAGAGTGAGACACAGCTAGAGCCATCTCATTGCTAAGTCTCACGTCTTACTCATCAAATTCTTACCGTTCGTGTATGCTCTTGAGCAAGTCATCCCAGAGATGGCTGCCCCTCCACCCGCCCCAGCCACTTGCTTGGAGACTTTCTTAAAGCTCCCTTTTCTTGCTTTCTTTCCTGTGTGGTGTATGTTTTTCATCACCAAATGCATATGCAAACCCATGTAAAACATGAGTCTAAAATAAACTCCAGAGAATCTAATAACGACCAAACCAAAATGCTAAGGGGAGAGAACCGTATGATTTAGACCAGGTTTTGAGTTTTTTCCAGGTGAAGAGTCTCAGAGATTTGCTCCTGTTGGCAATCTCCTTTTGTAACTACAAAAGAGACCCAGACCTGAAGTGACAGTGACGTCATTCTAGACTGAATGAAGACAACGATCATTGTCACTAAGATCTACATGCTTAATGCTTCGAGGGGTCAGACATTGTTTTAAGCACATTACTTGGGTACATTCATTTCTCAACATTGCCCTAGCTAGGAGATAGTATTAATATTCCCACATGCTCATGGTACAACTGGGGTACGGGGTAGCAGTATATAACACAAGGATTCACAGTAAATGAATGCCACCTCGGACGCAGGATTTTGCTATTACCCACAGCATTACCAGAAAGAGTGACTCATTTTTCTCCCCAAACAGGGTGATCAGGGGATTCCAGGAGACAGAGGTCCACAAGGTGAACGTGGAAAACCAGGCCTTATGGGCATGAAGGGGGCTATAGGTCCTGTGGGGCCACCAGGAAGCAAGGGCTCCGTAGGGTCACCAGGCCACCAAGGCCCTCCAGGCTCTCCAGGCATGCCTGGCACTCCGGTAAGTGGAGCCCCTGGCTCATACTGTCTACATATCTGTTTATAATGAAAGAAATGCCAATCCTTTTAAATATAGAAAACAAGCTTGTCTGCACCATGATTTAAAGTTATGTGTCGGGTCTGCTGTTGACACCTCCATTACATCCTAGATCTTCACAGCTATAAACTGGAAGAATGGGTCCCTTTCCATCATCTGTTTATAAATGCAGGAGCAGAGTTGCCTTGATCAACATCAAAGCATTATTAAGAGGGCCAAACCCAGGTCTGGCTGACTCCAAAATCGTTGTTTGGTTTAGTTTGTTGTATGGGTTTGGGTGTGTTTAGTGTGATTAGGGGGGTGGGTATTTGAGACAGGATCTTGTGGTATAGCCCAGACTGGGCTGGAACTCAAGATCCTCTGGCCTCAGCCTCCCAAGTGCTGGGATTGTAGGTGTGTACCACCACACATAACCAAACCATGTTTTTACAATAGTATCTATAGTTGCTCTTACACAACCATACACATCTATTTTACCCTGGGACTCTGTTCAGTTGGCCACTGGAACAAGTGTGCCCTGAATTAATGCTTTGGAGTAGGGATGACATAAGCCAAGAGCAGGGGACACTTGAAGCAGCCCTTATCTTACTAACAGTTCAGAAGAGTGGTCGGTGGCCATTTAGCTGAGGAGTTCTGAAAATCTCCGCAGCAGGAACAAAGGAGGACCCGGGGATGAAGTAGGAGGTTAAAGACCTACTTTCCTCAGACCAGACAAAGGCAGGGCATTCCCTCAATCTTCCTACTTCTTTATTTTTACCTCCTTCCTAAACTGGGAAACCTGCAAAACTTAACCTCGGTATCACTTTCTGTTATCAGACTGTTCATTCAAGTTCATTTTTCCCCTTCTCCACTCTTCCCAGAGTCTCCCCACCTCTCTACCCACCCAACTTTATGTTCCCCCTCTCTCTCTCTCTCAAAAAAAAGAGAATAAGAAACAAAAACAAAGAATCAAGACACAAAAAAGTCCCACAAAAACAAAAGTCAAAACAAATAGACAAAAAAAAAAAAGGCAAAAAATGCTCAAACAAAGCAAAAAATTAAATAAGAAGGAATCCACACAAATGCCTTTGATTTTGTCTTGCCTTGGACAACTACTTCTGGGCATGCAGCCTGCCCGGGACCCTGGAGTGTAGTTGCCCACTGACACCCCATTAGAGAAAACTGCTATTTCTCTTTGCCAGCAGGTATTAACTGCAGATAGCTTCCTGGTTAGGGGTGGGACCTGTGTGCACTTCCCCTTCTCAGCACTTCCATTCAAGTCCATTTGTTTCCCAAGCACGTTGAAGACCAGGCAACAGCGCTGACCAATAGAAATCAGCCCCTTATGAGAACATCGCATTGTCTTTTTTTTCCTCTTGCATTCTAAATGAATGGGATGTCATGAATGGATGAACTCACAGCATTACCCCTGCATACACAGGCTTAATACGCAAACATGATGAGGGAAGGATGGAGGGCCCACCAAATGGGGGCATTTACAGATGGATAACTGCCTGATTTGTGGGAATAACTGAGGCCAGGTCTGAAAATCACATCACATGGAGATTTCCCACAGATCTTTCCAGTCCCTCATCTGGTCACATCCCACTGGGCTTTGTCACATGTTTCTCAGAGTGCGTGCTTACCAGTGGAAGGAGTCCCTACATCACAGCTTCTAATGTGTGTTGTGTTGTCTTCATTGCCGAACGTGGAGCCTCAGAAAATAACTACGCCTACAAAGAATAGGACTGAAATACTTTCAAGTCCTGACCACCTTGAAAAGTGATAGATCCCTTCTGAAAACATCAAAGTATTTCAATAAAACATGGCTGTTAAAATGTGGGTTATTGCCAAAGGATGAAGCATTTGGCTGACACCATTTACCTACTTTCAATTACCAGGCATCTCAGGCATTTTCTATTAAAAATTGGGCTATGGACTGGAGAGATGGCTCAGCCATTAAAGTCTAGGTTCACAACAAAAATAAAAATTTGGCTAATATGTTTATGTTAATATGTAACAGTAGCATGAGACCGGCAAATCATGAGAAAAATATTTTATAGGATAATCCTGCAACAACATGATGTCAGTTGTTGTAGACTTTACCAGTATCCAGGGGTGGGGTACATGTTCAGTTGTGGTTGGTTATTGACACCATCATGTTGTTTGGGTCTTTTAAATTTATGTAATAAAGTGACAGAAACTGTATGTCCTAATTGTCTATACCCATATTTCTCCATTCGTGGGAGCAATATTAGCATCACTGGTTATAATCCCAGACCACAGCTTGTAAAGCAGCTATGAACTTCAGCTTATCCTAGCATTTGATCAAACAGTATCTATTGCCCAAACGAGTGCACAGCCAGCAGCATTTTGCTTGACAAATGTGTATCGACAAAAGTATGCCAAACCCAGTATTTCTGTTCGTTATCCACGGGTGCTCTTCTTTCTTTTAATGGACATTCTTTTTCCTACCTTAGGCGGATGCTGTTTCATTTGAAGAAATAAAGAAGTACATTAACCAAGAGGTCCTAAGGATTTTTGAAGGTTAGGTTTGCTTTGTAACGCTTCCAAATTTTTTCACTAGTCTCCACTTCCCGTCTCCTCGTGGGGAATCCCTCCAGTGACATTCTTGAAAGATGACTCCATGACAGCAATCTTAGGACACCCATTTGGTGGAGAGGCAGCTCCTTTTGACAGAAGTATCTTCCTTATGCTGAGTTATACTTTCTCTTTAAACTTCCTTTCCTCCCCACTTGTCTATAAAGAACACAGGTAAAGTGCCCTCTAGTGGTGTGACTGTCTTCCAAATATTTCAAACCCATCCAACCCCATCTTCATTTTTCTCCTCTATGGAGTAAGTATGTCCAGCTCCCCCATCCCTGTCACCCTGGGGCGGGGGGTGGGGTGGGGTGGTGGTGCTTATTTTACCTGTGAGTGTTTCCACCAAAGTGGGTTACTGAGTCTTTTGATCTATACCAGGGTCAGCAAACTAAAGACTCCCAGCCACATCCATCTGCTACCGATGGACTTTTATGTGGCCTACAAGCTGAGAACGGTTCTTACATATTTGTTAGAGGATTTCCCATCCTCATTTTCTTAAAAGATCAAAATGACACATTTAAATGAACTAAATTCGGACCTGACTTCTAATCAAGTGGTTTGGGGTACAGTCATACTTCTTTTCATATTTCTCCAGTGCTTTCAGGCATTAGGTGAAGAGTTGAATAAATGTGACAGATATCATGTAGCTAGCAAAAAATAAATAAATATTCACTTTCTTACTCTTTTCAGAGTAAGTTTGCCTACCCGGGCCCTAGATGTTTAAGCCCAAGGTAGCTTTGTTTTAAAAAACAAAACAAAACAGTGTCTCACATATCCCATGCTGGCCTTGAATTCTCTATGTAGTTTGAGGTTGGCCTAGAACTCCTGATGTTCCTGCCTCCACGTTGCAAGTGCTGAGATTACAGGCATATACCAGCATACCTGGGTTACTCATGCTTTTCTGGGGTGGAAACCCTGGACTGATGCTTGATGCTGGTGAACGCTCTACCAGCTGAGCTACATCCCCAGCCCATCTCTGCTTCTGCTGAGCAGTTAAGCCTTGCTGATCACTCATGGTGAGTCATCAGTTAACAGCATGGTTCTTCCCTCTGAAAACTTTTCAAAAGAGTTCCTCATTGTGTATTATTTTAAAAACCTTACACGGGTGAATTTATGTTTGCTGTTATTAAACTTCAAGTGGCTTCAGTGGTAGAGCACTTGCCAAAGATGTCTAAGGTCCTGGGTTCATCTTCCAGCATCAATCAATCAATCAATCAATCAACAAACAAATAAATAAGTAAAAACAAAATCAAATAAAATTCAAGTGATTTATGTTCTGACATTGGTCCAACCTGAAAATATTGTTTAGAATATTTGTGGGAGGTAAGATGGCTGACACTTACAGTTTTGGGGTCATCTCTAAATGTCTCAGCATGTTCTCATTCTAGTTATTGATGGAAATGTTGAGTTTAAAAGTCAAGAGCTAGACTGACAGGATGGCTCAGTGGGTAGAGGTGCTTGCTGCCAAGCCTGATAACCTGAGTTCCAGCTCTGGGACCCACATGGTGGAAGGAGAGAACTGACTCCTGCAAGTTGTCTCCTCACCTTGGCACACCTGCCGTGCATGTACACACACTATGAGAATAATAATAAATAATAAAATAATAGTAATAGCAGTAATACAATGTAATTGTTTAAAATTTTAAGTTGAGTCAAGGCTTGGGCCTTTCTAGATGTCATCAGGTTCCTTCTGCACACTTATACGTCATCTATTAATCTATCATTCATTGAACTTTGACTCCATATATTTATTCTAAAATCTGCTCTAGATCTCTTCTCAAAGATATCACATGGTTTTGCCCAATGAATCACTAAAATCACAATCATTCCCCTCAACTGTAAGATCCACAAAGTGGAAATTATCTGTTTTCAGCAAAGAAAACTACATTGGTTCTCATGGCTCCTACCTCGCTAGTGAGCTGAAAGCAGGGTAGCGGGTTTTGTAAAGCATGAGAACACAAAATATCCTAATTCAGCATTTTGTTAGAATTATTTTAAGTAATAATTTCCATTAGAGACTGAAATCTCACTGCTTGACTGCGAATTATCTTGTTTCACTTGAGCAGTGGAGAGAGAGCAGTGTTACACAGAAAAGAATACTTTAATGAAGTTATCAGTTCATGTGGTTCCTTTACATTTTTCTTTATCTCCACTACCTGTCTTTGCTTTGCCCTACATAATAATTTATTAAAACCATTTTTTTTCTTTTCAGCTGCCAGTGTTCTTTGTAACTTTAACATTGTGCTTAAATTTGCCAATTTTCTTTTGTTCTTGGTCTTATGGCCTTTGAATCAAGCACCATGGAATAGATGCTAATTTTTCCCACCAAAACATTATTTCTCCTAACAAGCACTCTTGAACATTCGGCACTCTGGAGGGGGAAAAGTCTTGTTGTACTCCTCAGGAGACAAAGAATATGGACAGCAGCAAAGTTTTCAGGTCTCAGTGTAAAATGAAAATGTCCAGAAATGAAAATAAAGTATATTTTAAAATATACTTTAAAATTTTAAGAAAACCATTAAGCTGAGTGTGGGGCCCTTCTGAGGGTGGAAGCCTTTGTTACTATATAGGTGCCATGTCCATGAAGCAAGCACTGGACACAGGAACCCACACAACATGTTCATCTGCAGTTGGCTGGAACCATGCAAAGGGAAACACCAATGAATACATTTTTTTCATTGCAATCTAAAGTTCACTTCTCGCTTCTAATTTCTACAGACAATGCTGTCATTGAAAACCCTTTATCTCAGGAATGAGATTCTGAAATGCAATTTCTTAAAGATTCTTCTTGTCGCCATATTTAATAGTTCAGTAGTTAAGCCCACTTCTGGAGGTTAATTAATAGTCACGGAAGCTGGGCTGGAGGAGATGACCCAATGTTAAGGGTGTATGTTCTGCTCTTGCAGAGAACCCAAGTTTGGTCACCAGCCTCCACATCCTCACAAGCACCTTTAATTCTAGCTCCAGAGGATCCGATTCTCCTTTCCTGCCTCCAAGGGCACCTGCTTTCACACCACACTTACCACTGCACATATATACACATAATTTCAAAATAAGAATAAATCTTCTTTTAAAAGTGGATGTCAGAAACTATAACTCAGTATTATCAGAAGAAAGAAAAACGTCAAGAAACAGCAGACATGGATTTTTTTTTTTTTTTTTTTTTTTTTTTTTGGTATTTCGAGACAGGGTTTCTCTGTGTAGCTTTGCGCCTTTCCTGGAACTCACTTGGTAGCCCAGGCTGGCCTCGAACTCACAAAGATCCGCCTGCCTCTGCCTCCCGAGTGCTGGGATTAAAGGCGTGCGCCACCACCGCCCGGCCAGACATGGATTTTGTAAGTCCAGTGCACACTGTAAAGATGTGACCCACAACCTCCTGTCTGAGTACTCAGCCAGGGAAACGCCCAGTTGCAACCCCTCAAAGAGGGCTCGAGGCTGCCCACACCCAACCACCCTGCAGCTGCTCCCATCAACAGCTATGGGTCTCCTCAAGAAAGTCAGGGGATTGGTTTGGAGCAAGCTCACCTGACTTGTACTGCGTTCTTTGGGTTTCTGTCTCACCACTCGGTTGTCCCCACCAGGAAGCTGACAGGTATGGAGTCCCCCCCACCATGTCTCCTCTGGCTTCATCCCCATCTCTCCCATTGCCTCTCACTTAGGGTCACAGTGAATGGCAGGACACTCTAACCTCGAGAGAGCTTGTTTACCTCCAAAGCCACCTTAAAAATACCTTAGCCTCAAGATGGTTTTCTAAAAAGGCCGAAAGGAAATCTTTCTCTTGAAACTTGTGAATACCGGTTCCACATGTGCTATCCCCTCTCCTGGGAGCTCTGCAGACAGCAGCCAGGCAAATCGGTCTTCTCCCAAACAAAATGCACCTGAGCCTCCAGTGTAGTTATTCAGCACTTACGTTAATTTGCCCTCAAACCACTTCTATTCAGTCCATTTGATTTTTTCTACCCAGAAGCCACCTCTTCCAAGGCTGAACACCGTTTTCCAAGAATAAAAAAAGCAAAACTCCATTTTCACAAATCACAGCACTGTAAGGTCAGTTTCCTCTCCCACAAAGCCTTCTCTCTAAATGGAAAGATGAATTGTCACATTTTAACGCAGTTTCGGAGAACTAACACAGTACAGTAAGTGCTGGGGTTCAATCACACCCATCTACAGCCCGTTTGCTTAGCAGTTTCACTAGAGGAGGTGTCAGTGGGGGCTCCCACAGTCCCCCCACACACTTCTGCCTGTCCACAGCCTCAGGAAGGGTTCTCCCTCTTCAGCAGGAGCCCATGGTGGTCCTTGGGAGGTCCTGCTGTATGCTTTATTCAAACCTGGTGCCCAGGTGGCTCCTTGTGGGAAATCCTACACCAGAGCATACATTTTGAGCTCTCCTCCAGGGATTTATCAATCCCCTTTGAACTTCTTAGGCGACCCTCCCAGGCTTCTCACCTTGGGCTATCCTCCAGGCCACTACCCTGGCCTTCAGCCTGCTAAAGGCTCCTTCCCAAACCCATCAAATGGAGGCAGGCGATTCTCCATAATCTCAAAGCTGGGTTCCAATTGGATCATGAGACACAAGTATGCATTCACTCTAAAGTTAGATTAAATCCCCACTTTGACTGGCCAATACGTCAAGGCTTTTTTGCCAGCAGGGTGACCACACAAGGCAAAGACAGATGTCATCCACATCACTCAGCTTAGCATCTTTTGTCCTTAGGAGGATTTAGCAGCTGCCAATGATCCTATCCACATAAATTAAAGTCTTAGCATATCAGAGAGCATAGATTTTGCTTATATAACTCACTTTATAATATTTGAGCATTTTCATCTATATGAAAAAAGCAAAAACCTATGAAGTATTGTATACGAACTGGCAGACTCCATTCTTTAAACCCTCAAAACCCAATTCTGCAACTGAGGGAGAGCAGGAAGATTAAGGTTATTTC